CACAATTTCAGAAATTATTTATTATTTACGGTGTCGGAAGCGAAGTGAGAAGACAGTTCTCAATACAAACTTGGGATTGTACTCAATGTCCTTTGACCATGTCAAGTGCCTCTGGTTTGGCTGCGAGAAGGTTGTAGTCAATGGTCTGTGGTTGGCTCTCCTCCGCACTCACATGTTGTGGACTCCACGTCGTGGCCCCGTTTCTGCATCTCGTGGTGCCCAAGCGCGGCTTTCCAGGTCGCCCGCTCTTCTGCGCCTGACGTGTTTACATTCCACAGGAATCAGATAACCATGCGTTCCTGCTTCCGGCAATGTATGGCAAAGTGAACGGACGTATTTTACCCTGCTCCTGTAAATAGTGTAGACTGCAATAAAAGAGAAGAGCCGCTCCAGGCTTTGGAGCCAACTGAGCTAGCTCGCTTCCTTATTTTGCTTCTGTGCCTTTGAGCAGATGCTCAAGAGGTCAACAAATCCACAGCTTCTTCCCCGGAGGAGGGCCTTCAGTGCCCCCAACGGGCCAACACAATGGACCCTTCCAAACCAACGCACCGGTGGGACGCAATCACAAGATCCCGCTGGATCTCCTCCGCTGGATCTCTCTGCTTTAGGACTTGGTGGGCTGCTCTTCATGCCACTTCGGGGGCCGCCGGGAGGAGGAAGGCGAGCGAGACGACCTCTGAGAGAAGTCCTTGGCGAGAAGGAAATATCAACACAGAGACAAGGAGATCAATAGCAGAGGCTGAAGCAAGGTGTTTGTGGGGGACTGCCGTGACCCCTACCACTCCGCCTTTGTGCCGTGGCTTTTGGGGAAGGGGCACCTGGGGGTCCGGCTTCTTCTCACCTGTTTGCGGCAGATGTCCATCATGGCCCTGGCCTGCAGGAGGCACCAGAGCTCCCCCACCAGGGAGACCAGGAGGCTGGCGATGTCCGCCCAGCGCCCCACCGTCATCAGCAGGACCAGGAGGCCCCCCATCCGTACAAAGACCGTCTGGAAGGCCATCTGCTCAGAGGGGTTCTGCCGTTGCTCTTCTGCGTGAGAGAGAGAGACAGGGAGGCGGGTCACTCCGGAAGGGGTTCAGAATTAAGACTACTTCGTGAACGAGTCAAACTCAAGAGGAGGAGGAGGAAGAAGAGGAAGAGGAAAAAAGGAGGAGAGGAAGATGAAGGATAGGAGGAGGAAAAGAGGAAAAAGAGACAAAGGAAGAAAAAGAGAAAAGAGGAAGAAGAGGGAGAGAGGAAGAGGAAGAGAAAAAGAGGAAGAGGAAGAAGGAGAGGAAGAAGAAGGAGGAAGTCAAAGGAGAGGTAGGAGAGGAAAAAGAAGGAAAGGAAGAAGAGGAGGAAAAAGGAACTAGAGGAAGTCAAAGGAGAGGAAGAAGAGACAAAGGAAGAAAAAGAGAAAAGGGAAAGAAGAGGGAGAGAGGAAGAGAAAAAGAGGAAGAAGAAGGAGAGGAAGAAGGAGGAAGTCAGAGGAGAGGTAGGAGAGGAAAAAGAAGGAAAGGAAGAAGAGGAAAAAGGAAGGAGAGGAAGAAGAAGAGGAAGAAGAGGTGGAAGAAGGAGAGGAGGAAGAAGGAAATGAAAAAGAGAAGAAGGAAGGAGAGGAAGTCAAAAGAGAGGAAGAAGGAAAGGAAGAAGAGGAAGAAAGAAGAGGAGGACAAGTCAAAGGAGAGGAAGAAGATGAAGGAGGAGGAAGAAGAAGCAAAGAAGAGGAAGGAGGATTGGGAGGAGGAGTAAATGAAGAAGCAAAGAAGAGGAAGAGGAAGGTGGATGAGGAGGAGTGCATGCTGGGCCTATAACCCAAGTGTGTTTCCTTCCAAGCGGACCTCGCATGTAGATAACTACAAGGATGTAGCAGATGGTGAGTGGGGTCCAGAAGCGCAGGGCCTTGGTGGTAGTCAGGAAGAAGAAGAAGAAGATGACGACAAAGGAGATGAAGAAGGAGAGAAAGTGGAGGAAGGAGAAGAGGAGGAGAGCATGTTGGACCCATAACCTGATTCGAGTTTCT